CCAAGTTAAAATAATTAAATTTAATATTTCATTTCGATAAATGACTTAATTAAGTATATTTCTTCAGTAAATATATTCAGAGCTTTGGTTTGAAGATGAATGGTAGGAAGACAATTGCAATTTGTAACATGGAGAGCTCTTATCTGTCTTGCTGGACGCAATTTGTACGTCCCACTCGGAGCTGGACGATGTCATTAGTCATTTTACGTTCGGGTTTGTCCCACGGAGAACAATAATTAAAAAAAAAACAACACTCGGTAAATATAATGTGCCGCGTTTGGTAATTGGTCATTTACAATAAACATTTGTTAATTATTTGAGATGAAATTTATATATTTTGTTCATTCATTACTTTTAACATAATTATTACTTAAGTATTGATTACAAAATATGTACTAGTTGTGAATTTTCGTAATTACGAAGGCATATGTGACAGTTATATTGACAGTTGACAATTAAATTGACAGCTGACAGTTATATTGACATCTGACAATTACATTGACAGCTATATTGACAGCTGACATATGGTACTAAATATATGAAATTAAATAAATGTGTGTGTTTTTTAGTGAAATTCTTTTTCCTCTCAGGTATAAAGTCATTTATTATTTATACTTAAGTATTAATTAAGCAATATTTTTGTTTAACTTTTTTTTTGAGATGAAAAAATTTTTTTTTCTCTTTTTCCAAATATACTACAAATTTCATTAGTTTTATCACTATTTCAGTATTGATTACTAACACAGAAAAAATATGTATTAAATATTTCTTATGATGAGAATAAATTATAACAGGTGACATATGGGATGACGTGCTTTTAACAGTGAATAATAGCTCGAAGCGTATACCTATTAATAATATTGCCGGAGATAGAGCATAGATCTATTTGTATCAAGATTGGATGGTTTGATACGTTCATACGTGCATTATTACTGTAAAATGTGGTAATTAGAGTTTGTCAATAACACACGATACATGTATACATGTAACAGATACAATCGAAATGCTGGGACGCAACTATTTAGTTCAAAACCGATTGATATTTCGTGACACTTTTAATACAATCAACATTATAGATTTTTTCTTAATATTTATATAATCTATTATATATTACATATATAATTTAAGCCCATATTCATGAACCATCTAAATATTAAACATACTTTTATAAATTATTATATTCATTCTATATAATTTCTCTTACATATTATATTTTTTATTATGTAATTATTATCAGAAATATTGTTATATTTATTGCAATATATAATAAATCAAAACAGTTTTTTTATCTAATAAATTAATTATGAGTTTGAAATCGATAGAGTTTATTGTATATAAAATACTTATAAAATTAGAATTATTGAAAATGTTATATTAAAATACTTTATTTTACGTAAAATCTATTGTATTCAATCAAAAGAGAAATTCTTTTGATTTTTTTGCGTTTTGTGTTATATTTTCTATTTACAGATAAGAGGCTTATCTAGGATTAGTTAGGAATCGTTCGGTATTATAGAAACTCATATGAGTAGGATTTATGTCCAACATCTTCGGTGCTATAAAAATATTAATAATTAGTCTTAAAGAACAAATAATTTTTAACAATTTTAACCAAAAATTTAATTTTAAATTTACAAAAATGAATTATTTTATAATAGTTTGCTTATAATATTAAGATTTGTTGTATTAATTTATAAAATTCTAACGGTATTAAGATTAGCTTTGGTTAATTAATAATATTTTTGAAAGTATGTGATTTTTTTAAATAAAACAAAAAAATAGTGTAATTACTGTAATTGAAGATGTATTATAAATAATACAATGTAAAATGTATGTTTTTTTTCATTGAATCATGTTATAAACTTAATTTACTTCATTTTACATACTTTTATTCAGGATTATTTAAATGTTTCAATTTATATATAAAAATATGTTATATTTCAATATAAAATAAAGAATTTAGAAGAACACACGTTAGTTTTCGTAGCTGAGGTGAGACTCGTTTTCATAACCATATAAGGATTGGTTTAACGCCCTTAAATACAAAACAACGTTATATTCGTATCTATAATAGTACGAACTTATGAACTCCCGCACTTACGAACAAAATTTTAAAAGCTGTAACTTGTTACATAAATAAAAAGAACTGTCCAAAGAAGAGTTGATAATTTCTTTAATAAAAATATAATATTTTTGGAAGATTTACTATCTGTTTTGTTGCATTTGTTTCTTTTGTCGTTTTCTATTAAATAATTGTGTAGTCTACATTGAAATGTATATGTAAGTATTTTGTTTATTTTAATCTATTTTTTAAATTTATTCAGTCAGTATTACGGAATTTAACATATATAAAAGTAAAAACCATGATAAAGTGGGGTAAGATAAGTATATTTTGAATTTTTTAAACTTACGAACAACCTTTTGGAACGGAACTAGTTCGTAAGTCGGGAGATATCTGTACTTGTTTAACGTCGCATAAGCCGAGACGTAGATCGGACGTGTTCGTAAACATAGAAACGATTGTTTAAATGCGCAACAACAAATATACAAAATGCACCTGCAGATGACTCATCGTAACTTATCAGCACAGATGTTTCTGTAACCATTGTACCAAGCACGAGATTTTAACAATCTACTAGTTTTTATTACCTTCTTATAGAAATATATAAATGTAGAAAACATTGAAAATTTACAAAAATTGTGAAAAATTAATTAGTTTCTTATTCAATTTATAAATTTTAACTTTTATACAGTAAAAATTGACATTAACACAATATCTTTGAAAATAAATGCTTTATTACTTAAATTCCATGGAAATTTCGAAAGTAGATATTGTTTCTTGTTTCTACTTCCAAAATTTAAATTTTTAATTATTTATACACTTATTACCCGTAATTAATAATGAATGATATGTGAATTTGCACTAATAACAATAGATTAAAGGATAATAGACTTTGTACTTAAATAATAAACAATCAATAACACCGATGCATTTTTTATTTGTTAATTGAAATATTAAAATTACGTTAAAAGCAATTGTTTTTATCATTTTTTACAATTTTTTTACAATAAATTATAAATAAAATCTTTCGTTCCTATATAACAATTTGTTTAACGTTCGTTCCAGCCGAGATAGATCGTGACGTAGATCGGACGTTTTCGTAAACATAGAAACGATTGTTTAAATGCGCAATAACAAATATAGGAAATGCACCTGTGCGTCATCTGCAGGTATGACTCATCGTAACTTATCAGCACAGGTGTTTTAGTAACCATGGTACCAGGCACGAATTTTTAATAATCTACTTATTTTTATTACTTTCTCAACGAATATGTAAATGTTTTTGTTGCATTCAAATTTATTTCATATTAAAAAGAGTAAAAATACATCTAAAATATTTACAAATAAAAAGAAATCAATATAATTTATGACATGATTTAGAAAATATAATGACCATGCGCATCCACCAATTACAATTTCGATCTTAAAGTTTTTCAATAAAATCATCTAAATGTTTATAATTATATTTTGTTTTATTTTGCACAATAATTTGAATTTATAAATATTGCAATAATAATGATTCAAAATATGAATTTTAATAATTGTTTATTAAAATTCATATTTTATTTCATTTCATTAAATTTATTAAAAAAAATATTTTTTTTAAATAATATTGATAATGTACTTTTTTGTCTCTATTAAAGAATAGAATAGAATAGAATTTTAATGAAATTAGGTAATAATTTGATCCATTGCCTTTTGATTAGTAGACACTAATAAATTTTGTAATTTAATCATGAAACAATAAACATTTTTAATTATTAATTATAAAAATATACGAATTAGGAAAAAACTTCTAAAAATAGTTTCTAAAAAAGTTGCAGTTGTTTTTCATTATTTTTTTTTGTATTAAACATTAAACATCCATAGAAAGCTTTAGTTTTAATCATTTCTGAGAATGTTTTATTGACAATATTTTGTTAATCAAATTCAGGATTTCCATAAAATATTGTTTCAATTTCTCAAATATTTATATTTATTGTTATACGTTTTTTTTTCAATTAAATTTTCAATTTTAACAAACTGTATGGAAATTACATAATTATTACTTTTATTACAACCATTTTTTAAAAATATTAGTTTCTATTGAAATCGTCATGTGTGTATTTTATTATATATTTACTTACACACATTTATAATTATTTGAAAATTTAAGAAAAAAATGACAAATTTCCTAAAACTTTGAACAAATAAATTATTCAACATGTAGGTGGATTTGAAGAAATACTTTTGAAAATTATGAAAAAACTAGTCTAATTTTTAATATAACTATACACACATTATCTATACTGTAAAGTTTATGAAATATATTTTCCTTGTACAAAATTGGTTTTATAGCTCTAGTATTTATATGAATAAAAATGTAGAGGAGAGTAAATTATTTTATGGTTGTACATAAAGAGAAGTAGAATGTTTTATGTAAGATTTCCATTTGCACAAAAAAAAAAACGAAGCGAAGAAACTCGACCATCCATTATAACAAAAAATACCCGAGATTCTTTGCGGCCATCCACATATTCTTTTTTTACTCAAGCTCGAGTTTTAAATTTAAATTCCATGCTTGTAGTTGCAAGAGAGTGAGCTAAGATGAATGCCTCCAGTTTGTTTTGCCGTTGGAAAATGCGCCAATTTATTTGCGGCATCGTTTTAGAAACGTATGGAAAGAGAACCAAAATAAATCCCACATGGTAAAAATACGTAGCGAAAAGTTCGTTTATATTTTGCACACTCAATATCTTTGCGGATCCGGAAACTGGAACTGCGTTGTTCCGGAATGTAGGGAAGCGTATCCTGAGGGGTTCTTTCCAACATCTCTCTCTCTCTCTTTCTCTCTCTTTCTCACTCACTCACACACGATCCTAGTGTATCGGACAATGCGGCAACAGCGAAAGGCGGAGGCAGCGGCGGCGGTGGCGGTGGAGGCGGCAGCACAGCCAGCAAAGCTTACAACTATCTCAGTTTCGCACGCGACGCGCCACAAAAAGGACGCGCAACCGAGGCAACCCGTACCGAGTGCACACAGTAATACATTTTTTTTGTTGTTGTTGTTGTTAACCGGAAAAAGAAAATATTATTTTTCTCGACCCGGAAAAGTGAAACGGTGTAGATTCGATCAGACTTTGACAGTGCTTTGTGATCCGGATTTTGTTTAGTCTTCCGTGCAGAAAGGTAAGGGTAGTACGCGGCCCGGCGCATTCGCAAAATTATGTAACTTTCAAAACTGCACTAAAACTCGGATTTTCTAAATTGCGCAGCGGATACCGACGATAAACAATTCGATAATTTTCATTAAATTCAATATTATTCATATTAATATTTTCCTAAAGAGACATTTTGCTGTAAATATAAAGAAAAGTATGTAATTTTTTATAGAATTATAAACAATATTATAAATAATATTTAGAAAATATACTGTTATACCTTTTTTTTTCTTCAAATTTAAAAAAAATAAATATCCATATGGCAATTTTCATGAAATTCAATATTGTCATAACTATTATTTACATCTAATTTTGATAAAATCTGAAAAGTAATATTAAATACCAATTAGAAAATGAGTTAATTTTCTATATTCCAATTAGATTTCTTTTAATTATTTGTTGAAATATTAAGTATGAAAATGTGAATGTAATTTATTTATTTATTTACATTATTTTATTTCATTATTTTTTTTTAGTATTAAAACATCCATAGAAAGCTTTTGTTTTAATCATTTGTGAGAATGTTTTAATCACAATATTTTGTTAATTAAATTCGGAATTTCCATAAAATATTGTTTCAATTTCTCAAACATTTATATTTATTGTTATACTGTTTTTTTATATGCTAGATTCAATTAAGTTTTCAATATTAAAATTACATAATTATTACTTTAATTACAACAATTTCTTAAAAATATTAGTTTCTATTAAAATTTTCATGTGTGAATCTTATTATATATTTACTTACACACATTTATTGGTCCAAATTTACAATAAACAAAGTTTTTACTTTTTATTAGTCTTCAAACATCTATAGAAAAATTATATTTTGATCATTTTCGATAATATTTTTTTTCTTCTACTTTATGTATTTTTCTGCTTTTTTATATAATATTTTGTTAAAGAAATGTAAAATTTCCATAAAATATTGTTTCAGTAACTGAAATTTTTGTATTTACTGTAATACATTATTATTACACTATACTCAATTACATTTTCAATATCAACAAACTTTATTGAAATTACAAAAATTGTAATTAATAATTGATATTTTTATAAATATGTTTCAGTTTTTTTTTGTATGTAAAGATTTACGAACTAGTTCCGTTAAAAAGAGTTGTAAGTCGAATTTTTTCGTAAGTCGTGGGGATTTTAAAAATTTCAAAATATAATTATCTTACCATACTTTACTTATATATATGTTAAATTCCGTATTACTGAACGCAGAAATTTGAAAAAATAGATTAAAATAAACAAAATCCATACTTACAAATTCATCATAATTATTTAATAAAAAACGACAAACGAAACAAATGCAACAAAACAGATAGTACAGATCTTCCAAAAATTAATTTAAGTTAATTTTTTTATCACTATGGATTTCCTTGTAGCAAGATAAAGCTTTTAGAATTTTGTTCGTAAGTCGGGAGATATCTATACAGATCAAATCGTAACAGTAAAAATAAATAATATTTGTTTTAATTAAATTTATTTCAATTATTAGTTTCAATTAAAATCTTCATATGTTGTATATTTTATTAAATTTATATTATATTTACTTACATACTTTTATTAGTCCAAATCTGCGTTGATTTTTCTTCATTTTATTAATATTCAAACATCTATAGAAAGATTACAATTTTATCATTTGCGATAAAACTTTATGTATTTTCTCTGCTTTATTGACAATATATCAATTGTTTCAATTGCTCATATTTTATATTCATTCTAATGATTTTTTTATGTATAATTCAATTCAAATTATTGAATTTAAAAATCTGTGATTAATCATAGTTATTTCTTATTAAATAAATTTCTATCTGTTTATTCATGAATTTCATAAATTTTCTTTAATTTCTATGTTGTTTATAGTTATAATAAACAAATGTAAAATATTCAAAACAAAAATGTGTGAATTTTGTAATAATTATTTAAAATAACGACAACACAGGTATCCCCCGACTTACGAATTCCCGGACTTACGAACAACATTCTAAAAACTCTAACTTGTTACAAGGAGATATATAGTGAAACAAAAATAATATTTTTGAAAGATCTGTACTATCTGTTTTGTTATTCAATTAGTTTCTTATTCAATTTATAAATTTTGACTAAACATTGGCATTAACACAATATTTTTGAAAATAAATGCTTTATTACTTAAATTCCATGGAAATTTCGAAAGTAGATATTGTTTCTTGTTTCTACTTTTAAAATTTAAATTTTTAATTCTTGTACACCTATTACGTAATTAATAATGAATTTGCACTAATTACAATAGATTAAATGATATTAGACTTTGTACTTTAATAATAAACAATCAATAACACCGATGCATATTTAATTTGTTAATTGAAATATTAAAATTACGTTAAAAACAATTGTTTTTCTCATTTTTTATAATTTTTTTTACAATAAATTATGAATAAAATACAATATCATTCGTTCCTATATAAGAATTTGTTTAACGTTTGTTCCAGCCGAGATAGATCGTGACGTAGATCGGACGTTTTCGTAAACATAGAAACGATTATTTAGATGCACAACAAATATACGAAATGCACCTGCGTATGCACCTGCAGATGACTCATAGTAACTTATCAGCACAGGTTTTAACAATCTACTTATTTTTATTACTTTCTCATGGAATATGTAAATGTTTTTGTTGTATTAAAATTTATTTCATATTAAAAAGACTAGAAAATTATTTAATTTCCTTGTAATATTTGTATCAATATATATTAATAATTATATGGAAAAATATATTATGAGTAAGTTCTAAAGAAAGATATTAAACATTCTTCTATTTTTATTTACGTAAATGTTTATATGCATATAAATAATAGTTTTATAAGCTGCTTTTACGAGGCTTATTTATGACGAATATTAAACGAAAATATCTTACAAATGACTTAAAATAACTTATCTTTCGATATCCATAGTTCAGAAATTAACACTTATATAATAAACTAACTAAATAAACTAACAACTAAAAATAATAAAAAAAATTATGAAAGTCTTAAGTCTAGAATTATTTCATTAATTATAACTGATTTTAAATGAATGATAAATCTATTTATAACAATAATTGTTTAAATTATGTAATTTATTTAGATTTAGAATTAGTTATATATATAAAGTGAATAGTTATTTAACATATTTCTTTATATTTACATGGAAAAACGTTTTTGCGGATATAAACTTTTATCATTTTCTTTTACGATGTCTTTTTTATTGCGAGCATTAAATAGAAATTTCTTAAATAATACTGAAAATATTTTTTTGTTTAAACTTATTGTTGAAGTTTATACTTCATAGTTGCAACTGTTTTATACATAACAGCTTAACGAGTTTAATCCGTTCCACAATTTCCGGATTTTTACTCGTATAGTGAAACATATTTAAAAATATACATAATATGTGTAGACAAGTTTTAAAAATGATGTAGAAGGCGCGAAATCCGGGACTTCTCTTCTCATCGTCACTCGTTATGCGAAACGTTGCTCGTTAAACGATTAATTTTTCTTACAATTCATTTTGATCGTTAAGCGAGGTTCTATTGTACAAAGTTAAATTACTTTTTATTCACGAAATAATTTACAAAAACAATAGTTTTATATAAATTTAAACATAATCATAATTCCAAATATTCATGTTTTACTATGAAAATTTTATAGAATGAGGCGTTATTTATGTAAAAACTATAGGATTATAATTTATAAAACGATTTTAACATTGCGTTTTGGGTTTCGTGATTGCGTTGTAAATAATTGTTCATTAGCCAGCCCACCCGGCGCATCCACAATATTCCTATAACTTTCCAAATAATTTTCAATACATTCTGTTCATAAAAAATCATTGTTAAAAGTTAACATCTCAGTTTTATTATTACAAAATTGTTATCTTTTTATTCTTAATTTTATACAATACAATATTTTTATTTAAAATTAGACTACATAATTTATTATTGTTGCGATTGCCCAAGCCCGACAACCGAATTCCCAATGTTCGAAATCCTGACGTTTGAAATTCCGACTGTATCGAAATTCCGACAATCATAAACCCGACTATATTAAAATCCCGACAACCATAATCCCGACTGTATCAAAAATCTCTACAATAACATTTTTAAAATATTCCGGAGCGTAGTGACTTTTTATATTGTTATTAATTATAAATAATAACAATTAATAATCTAATTGTATTTGAGATTATTTTATAAGGTTTATTATGAATAATTCGGGATTTTAATATAAACGGGATTATGGTTGTTGGGATTCTGATATAGTCGGGATTATGGTTGTCGAGATTCTGATACAGTTGGGATTTATTAATGTAAAAAATTAAGAAAATTGATTTTTATTGTCAATATATTCAAATATTGGTGGTAGAAAGAACATAACAAGATTGCTTTCCTTCAAATAACTAAATTGTATACATATTTAATGATTTTCGTTTAAATCTAATTGAAACACGAATGTAACTATACCATTATAAATGTAAATAGTCTACAATTCAATTCAATTTCCTAACACTTACTAATTTCCAAGAAAATATTATTGTTGGTTTTACTTTATATAATATTTTTTGAAATTGAATGAAATCGATTGAAAAATAATATAAATTACATAATTAATTAATTATTATAACTAAATTAAATGTATTGATGAATTAGAATATTTCAAATTTTATAACAATTTTGCATGTCAAAGAAATTAAACTTTATGTAAAAAAATTGAAAGAAAGTATATAAAAGATAGGTGAAGTGAAGAGTTCTTAACGTTTTGTCCCATACATCGAGCTTCTTCTTGAAACCAGCCTTATGCAATTGGTTGTAATTGGTTTTCTAGCTAATCTTCAGTTCCTGGGCAATGGAATAAGTGCTAACATAACGGTCCGACTCGACGATTTCCATGATTTTATCCAGAAATGTCTCATCTTCGACGTCCATATTATCAGAACGGAAGC